TTGGATTTGTCCATTTAAATTGTCGAGGTTCTTCGCAAACATTGAAATTTATATTAAAAGTTCGGGTGAGCACAAATAAAAAAAAAAACACTATTTAAAACACTATATATGCCTATATATGGAGTTATTTTGTTCTTTTGATAAAGGTTTACATAATTTTATTTTAATTTATTGAAAATTGGGTTTGTGTTATCACGATTTATTAATATTTTATTTTATTAATATTATTGCATGTATTTTAATATAGTTTCATCCTGTATCATTGTCCTTTCATACTACATCGTGTGTTCTGAAACATAGTCGTAATCGTCTGCCTAAGAGAGATCCTAATTTATTGACTCCTCTGGATCCTGAAGATAAAAATTTTAAAATCGAAAAGGCACTTCATCAATTAACAAAAAAATCGGATATAAATAAATGGACAAATCCAACAAAACTTTTTGATAATGTTGGCAATGATTTTACAAAAAAGCAACCAAAATCTTTTGATGATTTATTTGAAAAAAAAGAAAAGCTCTTCCCTGGGCAAATCAAAAGAGCTTTTGTCCAAAATGATACTTCCTGTTGAATCCTCTCCGGCTTCTTGGGAATCTGAAGAAACTGGTTCCACGAATTTCGAGGAGGAGGGCAGTACTGAACGTACACGTCAAAAATTCAGGTCCAGAAAAGATAACAATGCCTTTTCATTAGAACCTCAGAAGCAAAAGGTGACACGACAAAAATTTAAAACGAATGATGTTAATTATTCGGAAGAATTTGATGGAAGTATCAAGCCAGAGAGACCTAAGAAGGTTCAGCAAGTCCCTGAAGTAATCAAAAAAATCCAAAGGGATGTATTTATTCCTGAGGCTATCTCGGTTTCAAACCTGGCAAAAATTATTGGCGTACGATTGGGTAAGCCTAAAATATTATTGAAGAATTCTTTCATTATGTCTTATTATTAATACCGCTCTCTATTTATTATAGCACCTTTTGAACATAAATTATGCAGTCTTGGAATAGAATATACGACACATGATCATTGTAGGGTTTATTTATGTGTTGGAATTTAAAATCAGTTGTTTATTATAATCTACAATGACATTTATACCCTTGACGTATGATTCAGTGCTTAATTCTGAAGAGGCATCGCTAATTGCGATGGAATATGATCTAAATCCAATAGTTGATTCGGTTGCTGCAATTGACCTTTTTCCAAAGTAATAAATGTTATATTTTG